ATACCAGCTGCTTGCTTGTGGTTATATTGTGTAGACGCCGACGCCAAAAAACATGTCTCGATGAACGAAAAAAAAAAAAAGGAAAAATATGAAATTCAATATATCCACATCATCACAAACATGACATGGCTTCCAAAAGAATCGATTAATGTCTGTCTGTCTGATTTTCGGTTTTCATCAATGTTTAAAATAATCAGCCAAACCTATGGCTATAAGAAATTCCTATTTTTTTCCAAAGTAATTCAGATGTGTGTGTGTGTGTGTGTGTGTGTGGTGTTGATGCAGAGAAAGAGAAAAAAATCATTAATTAAGACAAAACAAAAAAGGTAAAAAAACGAGTTTTTTCCACCTATATGACCAAGAAGCAAAGACAAAGAAGAAATTTTTGAATATCTACCTGAATAATACCTTCAAAAAGCACACAAAAAAAATCATTGCGCCACAATAATAATAATTACAACCATGCATGTATAGAAGAAGAATTGAATAGTTCTATAATGAATTATAATATATTGAATTGCTAATCTTAAAATTGAATTCGTGAATAAAGACAAAATTCTTTGAATTTTGACTTGAATTTTTTTTTTGAATTGGCATCACCATGTTTTTCGTCAAGGAATAAGGAAAAATTTTCGAGCAAACTCACATCTTGTTGTATGTGTGTAATGATGCGGCTAGGTGTGTTCTGGTGATAACTGGTTTTTTTTTCGAATGGCATACAATTCTATATAGTTTGTGTGTGTGTGTGTGTGTGTGAGTGTGAGTGTGATGTAGCAGCATCCCTAATATTTTACAATGATGTATGCATGTTTGAATTCGTTTATTCTGTTTGTTTGTTTGTTTGTTTTTTTGGTTAATCGATCGATTTCATTGTGATTCTGTCGAATGTTTTTTTTTTTTCGCCTTTTTGAACATGGTGTGGATCTTTGATCTTGCAAAAAAAAATATATACACGGACCACACACAACAAACACATGAATATGGAAATGAACACGATTCGGTATATATATATCGTTGCTATATAAATAGACACCTTTTGACATTTTCCGAACATTTGGAACCATTTGGAACGAGAAAAAAAATTTGAATTTCATATTAGGCTCGCACTTTTTTTTTGTTCTTATCCAATGGTTACAGAATATTTGTTACCGACAACAATACTGATGACGATCACAATTTATACAAGGGTTGGTCTCTGGCTGTCTGTGTGTTTTGGATTTTCGGAACTGGATCCAAATAATGGGAAAAAAATCGATAAAAATTCATTTCCATATTTTTTTTTTTTGGCCACGAATAAAATATGCAGCAGTTGTATGTATGTATTGTTCTTGAAGATTTACAAGATAAAAAAAATTTTTTTGTAAATTAAAGCAAAATGAACATTTTTTGTTGATGTATCAATTTGTCAAATTATTTGGTTCTGTGTTGTTATGAAGTTATCGATGAACAATCAAAAAAAAAAAAATCATTAATTATCTGGCAAACCAAATGCTGATTTTAGGTCACATTGTTTGTTCACAAAAAGGTTGAAGGTTGAATTTTCAAAAAAAAAAATGAATGAATGAATAAACATGTGACATTTGATGAAAAATGAATTTTTGTTCTTCTTAGTTTTTTTTTCATTTCACAATTCTCAATATGAATCAATAAACTTGTCGTTGTTTTTTCTTTTTTCTTGAAAAACAACATGTGGCCTTGCTTGTGGCTGCTATAGGTCGGTCTTCCAATGACCAATCAATTGATCATTCGATAATAATAAGTCAATTACATAGCATATAGAGTGTCTGTGAAGAAAAAATTGAATGAAAAAAAAAACATTTAGAATAATAGAATAAAGATGTTATAAATAAATGTTTTTACTTGCCAGTTTTTTTCGAATAAATTACAATCGTTCATATAATTGAAACCATTCACAAATATCATCATCATCTGATGATGATCAATGATCAATGATCAATAAATGTTTTCTTTTTCTGGTCATTTGATGGGTCATAAAATTATTAAACAACCAAAATTGTCCATAGACCTTAGTGTCAAATGACAATTGACAATGGCCATAAAAATTGTTTTTGTCATTCCACAAGATTTTTATGATTATTGGTTGGTTATAAACATATACCACACACACACACACACACACACTGATTTCATTTTTGCAGAAAATGGCTTGACACATTTACAATATATATCATTATCAGCTGGTCATTTGTAGATTTGGAAAATTCATTAACCTGTGGGTGTATGAATATTGATTAAAATTATTGTAGATTTGGAAAATTCATTAACCTGTGGGTGTATGGATATTGATTAAAATTATCAGCGATTTTTTTGAAAAAAACTTGAAAACTTACCCAAAAAAAATTTTTTTTGTCATTGTTGTTGCTGATAATAATAAAAACAAAAATGACGAACTCAATGAATGATCATGCGCGATCATCAACGAAAAAAAATTCGTTTCATATAAACTGTGCACAGTTTTGCTTTTGTTTGTGAACTTAAAAGGAGGGTGGGTGGATCATCGTTTGTGAAAAAGTAAAAAACGAAAAAATCGCATGCGCATTGTATTTGATGATTATTTTTTCTCCGGTTTGTTTTTCTGGTTTGGATCTGTTCATTGTGTTTTTCGAATATCAAGAATAAAAAAAAACCGGATTAATTGGGCGTACAAAACATTGATGAAACTGAATACTAAACTCCATCTATAGTTTGAGATTCAAAATTCACAAAAAATTTTTTCAACCATACAAAAACAAAACACGTGCATATCCTGTGCAGTGAAGATTTTCAAGGATTCAAGGAAATCTTTGTTTTGTTTCTATGACAAAATTAATCATCAAGTATTTTTTTTTTGCACCGTAAAATTAATCAAATCTATATAGCAGCTATTTCAAAATCGATTAATCAATGAATCAATCAATGAGGAAAAGCACATAAGCAACAAAACAGGAGAAAAACAAAACAAAAAATTACAATTTAAACATCATCAATTGAAGAATGATGATGACATGATTGATGAAACAAGAAAGATTTTATCATTTGTCGGTTTGTGAGATTTTTGTTTCTTTTCTGCATTTTTTTTGTTTTTGTTTTGTGCCACTACAAAATGTTTTGTGATTAAAATCTTTTTGAAATCTTTACCTGTTTTTTGTTGTTGTTGGCGAAAATTTTTCCTCTTAAAAAGCTTCCTTGTTTCTTGTTGATCAACAAAACAAAACAATCAATCATTAATCAATCGAATATGAATTGAATTGAAATTATAGGAAAACAAAACCTGTTTGAATTGGAAATTTTTTTTTCTATTTTGTTTTCTACTTGGCAATATTTCTGCACAAATGAATGAATTTTTTATCCATAAAATTTGCATAAATTTAAAAACACAGGCAGCCAAATTTTTTTTAGTTTCATGAATATAAAAATAGATTAGAAATTCATTCGAATTGATCTGTAATGGGTGATCAACCATCGCTTCTGGCCATTACCGAATATCGGATAATTATAATCCAATGTCATTGACCACGTCACCAAATTTTCATTTTTTCATCGATAAAAAAAACGAGAATCCATTGCCATTCTCATGCACTCAATCGATCATTTAATGGATCATATCCAATAACAAAGAAAGAAAGAAAAAAATTGGAAAAAAATTGATACACAAATTGATTTGAATTTGACTTTTGTTTTTGTTGTTGTTGTTGTTGTTGTTAATTTTACAATTTATAAATCAAAAAAAAAAATTAATAATCATTCAGACGATTCGTCAATAAATGATGAATGGATGAAAATCAGAAAAAAAAGGAATGAAAAAAAATGATGATGATGATGATGAAAAACTATAATAATTGTGGTATGAAAACATGACAAATGAGATTATATAGGATGATAGTGATTCAATAAGAAAATGATGATTGAATTTCTCATTATTTTTATCTTGCTAAATATTTTTTTGTTTTGTTTTTTTGTTTGTTTTTTGTTCATGTTCTGATGTTGAAAAAATGAAGGTTTTTCTTGTCAATCCTTTACATTTGTTAATCATTTATTTATTGTTGAATAAACTAAATTATTATCAGAATCGATCATAAATCAATATATATTTATATAAGAAAAGAGAGAGAGAAAATTGTTTTTGTTTGTTTGGCCGATATAATAGTCCACAGGTGTGTGTGTGTGTGTGTGTGTGTGTTTGTGTGTTTGTGTATTTGTGATATGACTAAAATCAAATCGATTGATGATTATTATTCAGAAAAAAAGGAGAAGAAGAAGAAAGGTTTTTTCATATATACGTGATAATCAGAATCGTTAGAATTATCAGGAAGCAAAAAAAAAAAAAAAAATTGTTTGTAATACACATACATATGCATGTGTGTGTGTGTGTCGATATATTTATAAGAAGAAGAAGAAGAAGAAGAAGAGAAAAGACAAAAAAAATGTTGATTGATTAATAGAAATTATGAAATGCATATGTGTGAATATCAACGAATTTTTCAATTCGATTTATGAATATAAATTTGGCTAGAAATTCTCAGCTCTGTCTGTTTTTTTTTTTGTTTGTGATTACAATCAATGAATAAATGATGATGATGACGATGTGATGATTATGAATAAATAGTGTCGATTTTTTACATCAAATTTTGTTTCAAAAAAAATGTCAAAGTTGAGAAAAGAGACAATAAAAAAAACAGGCCAATCAATAATCCATAAAAAACCATCATTTGTCGAAAGACCATGATGTTTGCATGTTGCTGGGGATCTATTGCAAAAAAAAATTGATGAATTTTCAATTCAAATTTTCAAATTAAAATCTGCTACCTTTTTTGGTTGCACAATTTATAGTCGATAATATGAATGAATGACAATGGTGAATGTTTGATATTTAACAATGGATTAGATTGATGCTGTTTTTTCTGTCTGATGATTTTCATGTGAATGTGTTTGTTCAGTGTTTTTTTTTCTCTCAATGAATGAATGGATGAATGATATTGCAAATGAAATGAATTGGTGTGTTTTTTTTTATCAATTTGTTTCCACGTGTATTTATTTTTATTTATAGTTAGTTAGTTCTGATTGATGAAGACGACTAAAATGACCGACCGGTTTTTTGCATAAATAAATCCAAATTTTGATTTATTTCATTCCAATATTTCCATTAATTTAAAGCCGAAAATATCTGAAACAGAGAAAAAAAAATATAAATTTGAGTGTGAATTAAAAACAAAACAAACACAGGAGTTTTTTTTTTGTTCTCTACCTTTGTTTCACCATGTAAATGATGATGTAAATGATGATGATCAATTGGGCCAAGCATTTGAGGTAATTGTGGTGGTATAACGCTTTGCATTTTATGTTCTTTTTTCCATTTCATACGACGATTCTGGAACCAAATTTTTATCTGCCGTTCACTAAGACATAATGAATGTGCAATTTCAATACGACGTCTTCGTGTTAGATAACGATTAAAATGAAATTCTTTTTCCAATTCTAATGTCTGATATCGGGTATATGATGTACGTTGTCGTTTTGTTTCGCCCATTGAATTCACTCCAGCTGGATTTTAAAAAAAAAAATAAATGGAAGAAACAAACAAAAAAAAACATCACAAGAGACAAACAGACGAATAACAACAAATGATGATGATGGTGGATAAATTATTTTGAAATTACACACTTGACTATAGTGTTAAGGTTATATAATACCATGATCAAATTACAATCAAATCAAGTTTGTTTTTTTTTATTTTTGTTTCATTTCCATTCAATCATTTTAGTATTTGTTTGTTGTTGTTTTTTCATTTTGTCCATGTGTGTGTGTGTGTGGAATTGAAATTATTTTCCAATTTAATTTCCATTACTGTTTCACATACACACACACCTGATGCTGTTGGAGAATGAAATGGATTCCATTTTTTTGTTTTGTCATTACAAAATAATGATGATGATGATTCTTATATAGTGTGGATTATAGACCTACCAAGTATTATCTTTTGGAAGCTTTTTTCTCTTTTTGTTGTTGTCGTTGTTGTTGTTGTTGTTTTATCATCAGATTTCAGACAGTTTCAATTCTTGACAATAGTAGTGTAGTTTTATTCTTACTTTCATCATCAACTAAATTCTTTGCCTTCTTAAATGCTGTTGTTGTTGTTGTTGTTGTTGTCGTTTTTTTCTCAATTCTAATTTTGAATGAAAGCCTTAGGATAATGTTTGAGTAGCTCAACATACATAGATAGATAGATAGATAGAGTTTTAGTGTATATATAAAAAAAAATGTTTCTCGTTATAAACTGTTATATACTGAATTGACTGACTGAATGAGTGGATGAATGAATGAATGAAATAGAAAAGAAAAAAAAAAGACAAGACGTCATCGTCGTCGTCGACTACGACAACAACAACGATGACAACAACGAAATGTTTGAAATCCATAAGAAAATAATAATAATAATATAATGGTAAGACAAACTAACTGAAATAAAAAAAAAACTAAATCTCAAATTGACAGCTCCATATACGACGAAACGGAATATTATCCAAAATGGAATGAAAGGCGAGAAAAAAAAAAACGAACGAACGAACGAACGAATGAACAAATGAACAGGCTAGGAATTTTCTCTCTCTCTCTCTCTCGTTTTTGTCTCTTTGTGATAGTCTAAGAATCATCTGTCGAGAATGTTTGAAAAAGGGAATTTATTTGCTTTATTTTTTTTTCTACAACGAAATAAAATGAGTTTTGAATTCTGCAAAAAAAAATTCTCGAAAACACACACACACACACACACATTATTCAATTCTGATTGTCTCCATTTTAAATATTATGGTTAGATTCTGCAAATGAAATTGATGAAATTTCAATCATATGATGATGATGATGATGATGACAAAACAGAATTACATAATGAGATGTTCTTTTTTTTCTATCAATTTGATTAACTAAAAGAATTGAGATACCGAAAAAAAAGTACAAGATTTTTTGGTGGATAAAAAAAACTCATCATTATGATTATCGCGGATCATCATCATCATCATACATGGTTGGCAGTTTTCAAAGTTTCTCACATATCGTTTCAATGTTTTTTTTTTCATTCATTCATTCCTTCATTCATTGTTTTCAATGCCTCTGTCTCTCACTCGACATCCCTCCATTCTATTCGAAAGCAACAACAACAACAACAACAACAACAACGATGAATGTGAAGAAACTGTCAAGCTGCCAATCAAAATGAATTTCTTATATATTTTTTTTCCATTTCGTTCTTCGTTTCGTTTCGTTTCGTTTCATTTTCGAGTATGACTCCTCTTTGTTCTTTTCATTCATTCATTCATGGATTCATTCACTGACTATATTTTTTTTTGCTTAACAAACATAAGTAGTATACACACATATATATGAGATTATTATAGAAAAAAATGAAGTGAATGCGATTTGCAGTATTTTTTTTCCATAGATGTGTGTGTGTGTGGATGTTACACGAGAATTTTTTTACATTTTTCGCATGTATGTGTGTTTCAAAATCAAAATAAAATGATTGTGAATGAATGAAAGAAACGATCAAAACATGTCAAAAATATACTCACACACACACACACACACACTGTGAGACTAAACGATAGACAAGTTTTGTTTTGTTTTTTTTTTTTCGGTTTCATTTTCTTTTCATGATCAGCATATATTCATAATGATTTTTGAATGATTCATATTTTCAGTTTTTCGACATTTCGTAACAAGATTGGACTTTTTTTTTTGCTGAAAAAAAATTGAAATTTCAAACTTTTTTTTCTGATTGATTTTTCCCATTCGTTGTAATGATGAAAATATTTATATTACAAAAAAAAAAACAACAAAAAAAACGACAAAAGAAAAATTCATGGCAAGAAAAACTTATGGTCTGAATTTGTAAACAAAACAAAACAAAACGAAAAAAAAATTATTCACTCTCTTCATCATATATATCCACTTTAAGCTAAATTTGGATCATTAAACTTTTAAAGTTTTTTCTTTGAAAACGATTATTGTTGCCGCGATCATTGCAGCCATGTCAATAAATCTTTTTTTGTTTTCTCGATCAATCAAACGATCGAAATGTAATATAAACAAGCATCATTTTGTTTTTGTTTTTGTTCATTTTAATTATATATTGAATGTAATTTTATATGTAAATAATTCATCAATTAATAATAATAAGGTTTTTTTTGTTTCATTGTTACTGTTTGTTGATCTGAGAAAAACGACGACGATGATCATCATTTTTGCAGTTAAAATATAATCAATTAATGTGTGTGTGTGTGTGTGTGTATGTGTGTGCAATTTAAATTGATTTTTTTGATTTGCACATGATCATCATTGTAAGGTAAACCCAAGGTAAACCCAATGAATATTGAATATGTATGAAAATATTGACAGCATAAAAATTATATGATGATGATAGTTAGGTTTTTTTTCTTCATATATACACATGTTTGATTGGCCAAAAAAAAATCTTGTTATTCAGTTCGATTATTCAATGTATCAATAATATTAGAAAAACGAAATAAAGGTGACATTGTTATATTTGTGGGTTCCATTTGAAAGAATTTGTGTGAATGAAAGGCAGTCAAACAAACAAACACCCATATGTCGATCCAGAAAAGGTGTCATCTCATTTCATAATTAAAATTAATAGTTTTTTTCTCCTGGATCATTTCTGATTTTTTTTCTCTTCATAACAACCGCTGTTTTTTTTTCTTTCTGGTTGTTGGTGGTGGTTGTGTGTGATATTCACTTTTTTTTCACTTCATTCTGACGTCTTGTTCCCCGTTCTTCTACCCACTTTTCCATTGCACACATCAGAAATCAGAATCAAGTAAAAAAAGAAAAATACCTGGTTTGTTTGACATGTTTGTGGCCCGGATGAAAAACCAAAAACCAAAACCAAAACCAAAACCAAAAATCACATGTTCATTGTGATCTATGGTGGTTATTACAAATTTCATATGTCATAACATTTACAAACAACAGCATGCACACAAAAGACATTGTTGTTGTTGTTATTTTTCTGTTATCGGTATGTATGTTTTATTCTAGGTGACCACAGAAAAAAAACAACGAATCAAGCCAGGTATTGAGATTAATGATCTGTTCAGTAAGTGTCATATTAATAAATGATTTTTCTGTCCATGTTCTCTGTTCTTTCTATTCATTTTATCACTCTTATTCTTTGAAACACCAGAGAAAAAAATAATACACGGGTATACACATAAAAAATTGTTCCAAATATTATCATTTCTTCGGCATCTTTTTTTTTCCTTATTGGACATATATATCAACCAAGATTTTTTTTCTCTGTGTGTGTGTGTGTGTTTGTGGTCCATGGTTAAATCTTTAGCGGTAGGCTATGTAAATATTCATTCATTCATTCATTCATTCGATATTAACCACATATGTAAAATCAAATAGCGTGTGTTTTTCATTTACATTTTGTTTTTCAAGTGTTTTATGGGTCATAAACGAAAAAAAAAAATGATTTTCACCATTAAAATAGCGATGACAACCACCACCAACACCACCCACCACCATTGAAAATGCATTATGGCGACAAGTTTTATGGTCTGGTTTTTTTTTCTTGATTCACAACAATTCCTATCAACGAACATAATTCTTTTCGAAAATTGTCAAATATCAAATGACGTATGAAAAAAAAAAATTTCTTTACAATCACCTACTCTACTAATAATACTCATCTGTTGTGACAAGACAAGTAAAAATAAAAATAAAAATGATCATTAATATCATTTTTTTTTTCCTGGGTACCCGGATGACAATATATAACCATAACCAAAACCAAAAAAAAAAAAAACGGTGCAAAATATATTCACATAGTATAACATTGTAATATTTACAAGAGGAAAAAAAAATCATTAGCAAGACATGCACACACACACACACACAACTGAAAGATTTGTATTTGGATCGCTGTTGCTGTTGTTGTAAATAATTATAACTGTAACAAATATAATTCATATTTTTTTTTCTTCTTCTGATTGAAAAAAACATTCATTTCATTTCTAGCCAGGTAAATCATTTATATATTTTTTTTTTTTCGTGTGTCGAAAATATATATTCAACAACAACAACAACAACAACAAATCATTACATACAATCATGACCTTCTTCGAGGTTCGAGGTGGTGGTGTTGTTCTTCTTTCATATTAAAGCTCAGATCATTTTGTATGTGGATTCACACTCCATATATAACATTTGTATATCACAAAGAAAGTTAAAAAAAAAGAAATAAGGGAGGGTATATGTTCCAGACAGAAATGTATCATTATGGATGATGATGATGATGATCATCATCGTGTTCATCCATAATCATAATCATAATCATTGTTCATTCAGTGTTTGTAGTTTAAGTTATTTTTTTCTTATATCTAATTCACCAATATTTGATCAATGATGATTTTTTTTTTCTGTTGGATCTTGAAATCTTGTAACACGAACATTTGTTGTGATTGTTTATTCGAGTGTTTACATTTGGCCAAACAAATTGCCAGAATTTATTTTTTTTTTCATTTAATGAAAATTTCATTGTTCATCGATTGATTTTTGTTTTTCTGTGGCCAAAAAGAAAAACAATAATCCATTCAATCATCCATGCAATTTTTAACGACAACATGTTTACAACCAAAAAAACAAACTAACCAACGATCATCATTTTTCGTATGGATAATAAAAAAAAAATTCTTTTCGTCATACGAAATTCACCACCACCACCACCGCCACAACCATCTTCATGTCATAATAATGGTTTTCAAAATCATCGAAAGAAAACAAAACAAAACAGGTATGTCAAGTTTTTTTTGCAGTATGTTTAAGTGCATCATAATAGTTCAATAGTGATGCTACACACACACACATGCACACACACACATCTTACATTACATCAGCTAGGTAGAAATATGAACAAAAAAAAGATTGAAAAACAACACCGAGTCATACAAGATGTTTATATGTAAAGAAGAATGTTCTGATGTGAAAATCACCAATCATGGTCAGTGGTTATTTTGTGTATATAGTGTGAACTTTAACTAAAACAAAAATTTATTCATCATGTTCACAATTATAGTTTGTAAATGTTCTGAATGAAATGAAATGAAATCACATGTTTTCAAGAAATGTTTGTAGTGCGAAAAAAAAATTTTTGTCAACACACACACACACACACACTAAAGATAAATTAAATGGTGATTTGATGGATTAGATTATTCTGTTTTTTTGATTTTTCAACTTACTTTGGCCAACATGTACTTTTCTCATCCACGGATATATATGTGGTGGATTACTATTGTTGTTGCTATTATTTGAATTGAATTTACTATTATGACTGTTATTGTTGTTGTTGTTGTTGTTTGTTGCACCAGATCCATTATTACCGGTTGTTGAGCTACTGGAATTTTGATTAGAATGATTAACACGTGTTACCGATTGATTATCGGCATTAATACGATGTGAACCAGTCGATTGTTGTTGTTGTTGTTGTTGTGATGGTGCTATATTTATTGATGATGATGATGATGATGGTGGCTGTGTTGGTGTTTGCGGTTCCGGTGATTGACCAGCACCACCACTTGATGTACTGAGATCTTGTGGTGATTGTGATGGATCACCAATACCAAATTTACAGCTTAATGATGATGGTGATGTATTTGATTGCCTCGTAGCAGCAACAACAGCCGCTTGTTGCTGTAATTGTGATAATTGTGATTGCATTAATTGTTGTTGTTGTTGCTGATTATTTGTTTGATGATGATGATGATGATGATGACTATTAGCCAAACGGTTATTTGTTACCACTGGTTGTTGGCCACCAACTAGGGTTTGTTGTTGTTGTTGTTGTTGTGAACATACTGCCGCTGCCGCTGCTGCGGCCGTATTATAAATGTCACGATGATGTGTTGCAGATAATGGATGTGATGTTTGATGAGAATTATGATGTTGTTGATGGTGATGATCTTGACCACCTGGACCTGGTCCTGGTCCACCACCACCACCATTCTGTTGTAAATAAGCCGTATATGGTGATGATGTTGGTGATTGACCTACAGCAGCGGCTGCAGCGACAACAGCCGCTGATGCAGCAGCCGCAGACGGATTTGATGACCAACTATTATACATTTGTTGTGAATAATAATCGGCTGCCACTGCGGCTGCAGCCGTACCATTATCTCCACGGCTCGGCCCATAGCACGAGCTTAATGAATTGACAAATTGATACGAGCTCATTGGATCAGAACCGGTTATTTTTGTTATCGGTATGGTATTATTGTTGTTGTCAATATCACCGGTTATTATTGTTGCGTTATTTTCGTTTGTTAAATCAGATATGTTACCGGTATCACCTGTACCGGTATCAATGAAATAATTCTCGACTGCAATATTCCAAGCAATTTTGATAGAATTTTCAATTTAATCCCAAAAAAAAACAACAACGACAAATTAAATGATAATAATGAGATGATCTAAACTAATTTTTTAGGTCATTCAGATCATTCAATAGATCGATTGTGTGTGTGTGTGTTCAATAGCAGTTCATCAATCAGGCTTGTCATCGATAATTTATTTGTCGAATACCTGCATACATAATAACACACACACGCACACATACAAACACACATAACCACATTGATGATGAAAATTTCCGATGATCAAAAGACAAAAAAAAACTAGTTCGAACTAATTTTCTCGTCAAAAAAAAACATCGAAGAAAATATGGAATTACACTGTTGATCGAGCTGATTTTTTTTTATGGCCGTCGATCAAGGGTGTCGTCGTCGTCGTTTTGGCCGTCATAAATCAACCATTTTTCCAACTGTCTGATGATCAATAATAATTTTCCTTATTTGGGCGCTGAAAAAAATCTTTTGATTTTTTGTTTTTCGATATTTCTGAAAAGATTAGATTTCCTGTAAATTTTTTTCATCCAATTCATAAATTCCGCGTGTTGTGTTTTTCATAGATTCTGCGTCGTGGTTTTGTTTTCGTTTCGAGATTGTTGTTGTTGCACAAATTTTGGGATTTTTTTTTTTTGTTGGAACAATAATGAATGAGGACTAGACTGGAACACATAAAAAAAACAACAACAACAACACACAGAGAAAAATGGGCGCGAATTTTTGAATTTCCGTTTTTGATTTTCGTACGAGAAAAAAAATTGATTTTTTACGGTCACAAAAAAATCAACTTACAGTACAGTGGTCCATTCGATATGATGAAAACGGAAATTTTTTTATTCGTCGTCGTCGTTGTCGTTGTCGTTTAATTGAATTTAATTTGTTGTTTGGTGTAAATGACAATGATGATGAGCAAACAAATAAAATTAATTTCAATGTGACAAATTGATTGATTGTTGAATTGGTTGGTTGGTTGAAATGAATTTTTTTTATTACAATCAAACAAAACACTGATGATGATGATGTTCAAGTTGATGTGTTGATTATATATATTCATTGATTGTATGTGAATGAAATTTTTTTTTTTCATCAACATCAAAAATGAATCCGAGAAAAAATAAAAATTTTCAAAGTCAGAAAAAAAACTTGGTTGATTTTATGAATCGATCTAGAATTTATTTTATTTTTATTATTATTATTTTCACAATCAAACAAAAGTCAAGAATTTTTTTCTTGATGATGATGATGATGATCTAGTCATGACCATTGTCAGGACAAGAATGTTTTGGTTCAGTGTTTGGTTATCGTTTGATATACCAATATTTTTGATATGATTGTGACTGGTTGGTGTTTATTGTTGTTGTTGTTGTTGTTGAACAATCTTGAAATTCGAAATATTCATCCAAAGTTTTGGTTTGGATTTTCATTTCTTTGCGGACGATGAAATAAAAAAAAAATGTGATATCCGCAAAATATTTTGTCGTCGTCGTCGTCGTGGTCGTTGTCGTCTAGTAGTATAATGAATGAATGAATGAGAATTTCTGATTTTTTTTTAACTCTGAAGAAAAGGCGCGCGAGATTCTTTACCAAGTGAATGTGTTGGATTCAAATATTTATCTATGTGTGTGTGTGTGTGAATTATATCGCGCCTAGTAGTCTATAAATATGAATATATGACGGCGGTGGATTTTTGTTTTTTTTTTCGTTTGTTTTGTTTGTTTGTTTCATTGGAACACAATAAATTCTTCTCTTTTTTTTTCTCACATATATCCATATAGTAGTAGTGAAGATATTTCCAATGAAGAGAAATCTGATAGTGGCGTTTGGATTTTCATTTTGTTGTTATTGGTGGTGATGGTGGTGGCGGTAGTAGTGGTGATGGTGGTGGTGGTGGTTGTGGTTGTGATCAAACCTTTGCTGGAACTACACTGATGAATTATACGTTTTTTTTCTATATTTTTTTATTTATATCATCATTGTATAATATATTATCGGGATACAAATCATCATCCAATAGAGAAACATCTCTCCAATTGGTTCAAAAATTCAATTTGATACGCGTGCGTTGTAACGCATCAATTTTTGTTCGTTGTTGTTGTTGTTGTTGTTTCATTAGGATCATACCACTATCAGTTTGATGATAACCAAATACGAATACAAATAAATAGGCGGTAAATATATTGGACAGAACAACATTATTACTAACAGAGTTTTTTATTATTTATGGCAGTGGCGATGTTTAGCCGTTTTTGTTGTTGATATTTGTTGGTGGTGGTAGCATTCTTGATAATGATGATAATAAATTTGATCATTTCGATGTTTTTTTTTTTGAATACTACAACTACCACAATTTGAATCAATGTGAATTTTTTTCATTTTTTTTTTTGTCTGATACAATTTTCATAGGATGGAGATAGCGGTGTGTGTGTGTGTGTGTGTATTCAATTTCAACAGTGAAGTGTAATTCCTTTACTAACTACCATCTTGACTACTACTGATGGATGTATTCTATACACATAGAGAAATTTTTTTTTTTTTTTCGCTACTTACATTCTACAAATTTTTTTTCACTGTTTCAGTGTGTGTGTGTGTTTTTAAATTTCAACAATTTTTTCTAGTACTATCCCACTTTGAATATAATCTACATATATATATATCAAAATATATATAGGACCGCCTTAAAATATTTTTAGTTGATAGCTAGTGGTATAGTTTATCAACAATAACAATCAAAAACATCTTGTTTGACCCCGCCTTTTATATCTTTTTTTCTTTTGAGTTGACTACAAACATACATTACACTGGGGAAAAAAAAAAGCTACAGTGTAACAACAATTGTATGCAGTTATTCTCGTATTAACTTTCTTTGTTTTCTGGTTTTGTGAGGTTTATTTTTTTTTCTCTCTTGATGATTCTGATGTTTATTCATTGTTCATTGTGGCTACAGGATCTCTACGGATTTTTTCAACCCAGCCGGACCTAGACATTGTTTGGTTTTTTTTGACTTGTTCATCAAATTCTGATATGTTTGTGGGTAGTAGTAGTAGTAGTAGAATTAGTAGTAGTCAAGATCAAAGAGATAATCAGGAAACATCGTCTGTTCCTGAATTTTTTTTTTTGGACAGATAAGATGATTTTTTTTTCGCTTTCAAGATAACTATGTGCATCGAGTTTTTTCTTCACCATCATCACCATGTGTGTGTGTATTTTTTGTATGATTTTCATTGACAAAATCTTTCCTATGACCAAAAAAACACAGAGAAAAATTGAAAGGATTATGCTGATTTATAAAGTGACTGATTTGTCTTGTTTCTTGTTTCTTGTTGATGACAGATATATACTATAGCCATGTGTAATGAAAAATAAAACCTTAAAAGATTAGAATTTGACATGTGTGTATGTGTGCGAAATGATTGAACTTGAATTCGAGGTGTTTGACTGTTGATGATGATGATGATGATGAAAATCAATTAAAATCTTCACTGGCTGAAAGATTAAATGTCACGAGATCGGACATATTTTTCTTTCTCTTTCGTCACTTTTGATAATGATGATGATGATGGTAGTATGACATTCCTTACATACAACTAATACATCAAATGAATGAAATGAAATGATCAAGGAACAAAAAAAAACTATGGAAAAGAAAATAGCATAACCTGTAATTAACCTTGATTGATTATTATAATAATTATCATCATCATTAGCCGTGACATTCATGATAATGGTCACTTTTTTTTTTTTTGGTTTGTGTCATTGTCTTCATTGATACTATATAGTAGAGTAGAGTGAAGTGTGAAGATGATGATGATGATGAAAAAAAAAATCTTAACGTTTTTCAATAATGGAAATAATCCATATGATGATGATGATGATGATTTTAGTTGAAATGAAAAAAAAAAAAAAAAAATCCCACATGATACATATTGTAATATAATGATCACTTGCAGCACTTATATGTCCGCATGGATAATATGTAAATTGCAAAAAAAAAAAAAAAAAATTCCACACACACACGACAAATGCAATGACTGTTCCATGGAGCCATATAAACAATATTTTGATTAATTGTTTTATTATGTAAATGATCATTTGATTTTTTTTTTGTTTCATTTTGTTTTGTTCTAATATTTCCACTTTTACCGACAAAATGAATCAAATGAACAGTTTAAAACAAAACAAAACAAAAAGAATATATTCTTTTCCACAGAGAAAAAAAACTGCCATAAGTTCAATGGATTTTAGTTATTTTTTTTTCATTCATTTTTCATTCAATAATTTTGTTTTGGTGGAGTTTTTGGAAAAAAATAACAACTTTTTTTCCATCTTATTGGTTGCCACCGCCTTTTTAAATTTGTTTCATTCATTCATTCATTCATCACCGGATAATCATCATAACTGGATTTGTTTCATTTCATTTTTTTTTTGCTCACTGATCAATGATATTTTGTAATTAGATTCGGGTTTTTTTTGTGGTAATTTTTTTGTTGTTGTTGTTATTGTTATTGAGCTTACATTGTGAATATTCAGAATTCAGAAGCAAAAAAAAAAAAATTGGATTCGGTATGGTCATATATGACCAATTGTTAATCGATTGATGAAATAGAAAAAAAACGAACCAAAACTAAATTCCAACAACAACAACAACAACAAAAAAAAAGATGCTGATTGTCACTTATGAAATATTGAAAAAAAAATGATGAATCATTAGTTATATCATTATGGAACATCATAACTACTAAAAATAAAAGTAATGAATTGGATTTTTAGCCAAAAAAATGTGTGTGTGTGTGTGTGTGTTTGTGCATCTTTACACCCATGGTGGTGGTATATAATTTATCTTATCATTTTGGGTATCATCATCATCATCATTTTCCTATGTCCCCGGTGTTTGTATGATGGCCAGCCAAAAAAAAACCATTTGTAATATTCACACATTCATTGATCCAATATTTTATTCTTTGCTATTATTATTGTAGCCGGTAATGTTGATGATGATGATGATGATGAACTGTACCCGAAAACGAAAAAAAAAAATTGATACATACATAGTTCCATTGTTGAATTGTTGAATGAATGAATGATCTAAATTTATAGATAATGTCTCGATTTCATTGTTTGTTTGTTTGTTTCTTTCATTTTTTTTCTCTTTTTGATGTTCCATAATAATTTGTGTGTGTGTGTGTGTGTGTTGGTCTGTCTGTTCGACAGTGTTTGACAATGTTCAGTGACCATTTATGATTTCCAACAACAAAGACGATAGAACTGAAAAAAAACTGTCATTTATCATCCAAAAAAGCAAGAAAGAAGAAGAAAAAAAAAGTTTCAAAACTTGCGTGAAATCCAAAAAAAAAAACAGGATTTATTATTGCCAACAACAAACACACACACAGAGACACATAGACATTATATATACGAGATCGTGACCACGTGCGACACATAAACAATTTTCATATTTTTGTTTTCCATATTTTTAATTTTCATTTTTAGCGTTGCTTGTTTATAACCACATTCTGTGAGATTTTGAATTTTTTTTTGTTTCTGGTCCACAAACACACACACACATATGTCCTGTGGCCATTTCT